TATATATATATATATATATACCTATATACAGGGTGTCCTGAATTTAAATAGTCGAACTTCGAAAGCGTTTAAGGAATCGATAAACTAAGAAAAAATCTAGAGATATGCTTAATTTTAATTCGTTTTGGAGAAAATTGCAAAGACAAAATTTAATTTTCGGAATATTATTGTTTTCGTGTATGACTTCAGCGATAATGCTTCAGAAGCAGAGCGAGAATATAGTCGAAGAGCTTCAGATAGAAGAATGCCGGATTGGCGAATCATTTGCATTGACCAGATCAGTGTTTGGCTGCAATATGAGCTGTTCATACAAGATGCAATGCATGCATTTCTGCAAGTAGGCCATTTTAAATAATTTTAAATAATATTTGCATTAAGCAAGTGATAACTTGAATAAACAAGTGTGAATGAATAAGTAATAAGTACAAAAATAAAAACTACGTTTTGTCTTTTTTTGCAATTTTCCCCAAAACAAAATAAAAACGAGGATATTTCTAAAAGACCTTTTTATCTTAGTATATAGATCTCCTACGTGCTCCCGAAGTTTGGTCATTTAAATTCAAGACTACTACACTATATCTAAAATATACATATGTACTATTGTATATACAGGGTATCCCATTTAATTCGTCTGAAATCTCGCTTAGTTTTTATGATAGGAAAAAAATGTTTCAGATGAAAGTGGAATGGTTTTAAAAGATATTTTGGTCATATCGTTTTTCTTCTAGAAGGCGCCAAAAAGATATAAGTCATATTTTTTTTAATGGAATTGTATAATTTTTTTACACAATATGATTCCTCTAATTATTTTACATATAAAAGTATTAAGATAGAGATATAAAAAACCAATAGTTTACAAGATATTTTTACTTTATTTTGTTACATATTGATATAAAATATTAAATATCTCGTAAACCATTAATTTTTTGACAATTGTATCTTAATACTTTTATGAATAGAATAATGAGATGAAATCAGTTAGTGGAAAAAAAACACATAATTGCTTATTTAAAAAATTATCTTCGCATACATATATTTTTTAAAGCAACTATGTATTTTCTTTCCATCAATTGATTCATCTCATTATTCTGTTTATAAAAGTATTAAAGTATGATTACAAAGTATTAAAGTATTAAAGTATGATTATAAAGTATTATTACAAAATTAATAGTTTACGAATCATTTCATGTCAATATATGCCAGAATAAAGTATAAGATATATCTCGTAAACTATTGTTTTTTTATATCTCTATCTTAATGTTTTTATATGCAGAATAATTAGAGGAGTCACATTGTGTAAAAAAAAAATTTATACAATTCTATTTATAAAAATGGAGATGATCTTCATATCTTTTTGATTTAGAAAAAAGACTACATACATCCTTCTTGAAACTGTTCCACTTTCATCTGAAACATTTTTTTCTATAAAAACAAAGCGAGATATTTCTCATGCTCGAATTAGGTGGAATACCTTGTATACACATGCACGCACACACACACACACACACACACACACGCGCGCGCGCGCGCGCGCGCGCGCGCACACAAATACAAATTAATATCCTGCAAATAAAATCAACTAGATTAATAGAGGCCATTTGAATCAAAGAAATTTATGATTTCTGATTTTAACGATCAGAATACTTTTGAAAATTTTATCACACGTTCAAAATAATTTCAAACTAAATAAGTCCTGTATTTACGAAAATACATACTACAAATGGCTAAGAGTGAAAAGACGAAAACAACGCCGAACCACAGCATTATGTTGAATATGACAGGATAGTCTTCCGTGTACGTTTTCGCACGTCCAGAAAATTCAGGCTGAAACAGAAAAATCGTTGTAACAGAGAGATAAACACAATTTTCGAAAACCTACGAAA